CGAGCCATTCTTCTCTTCCTATTTACATGGATGGTTCGAAATCGGGTGACTCAGTAGGTTCTGCCATGGTGTGCTGTGGCTCGGTAGTTGCTTGCAGGATCCCCTCTACAGTTTCTGTGTTCACTGCCAAGTAGTATGCTATTTCTCTTGCCCTGGATCATGTAGAAGCTATGCAGTACAGTAATTGTACTATTTACACTGACTCTCTTAGCTCTCTACTGGCCCTGGAATCGCTTAACGTTAGTTCTCACCCTGTTCTCTTCGATATTCAACACCGATTTTCTGTCTTCTGTTTCCATCCAGTTTTTCTGGATCCCTGGCCACGTTGGTATTCACGGGACCAAGCTTGCTGACAACGCAGCTAATTCCGTCTGCTCTGGTGCCATCACGGCTATGCCTGTCCCATACATGGACTGCGGTCCTGTCTTTAAGACACGGCTTCACACCAGTTGGCAGTCGACTTGGGGGTGAGCAATGTCATAACAAGCTTTTCCAGATCAAGCCTACTGTAGGTCTTTGGCCGTCTTGCTTCCATAATTATCAGAAGGTGGAAGTAGTCCTGGCAAGGCTACGCATTGGTCACAGTTTTTAACCCATTGTTTTCTTTTATAAGGTATTGACCCACCGATGTGTAGCCATTGTGACACATTTTACTGTTGTGCCGTTGTTACGATCGTGAGCGGCGGCATTATTTTAAACACATATTTTCTAAGAGTTTACCTCTGATGTTGGACAGTATCATTGGTAATGGTGACACTGTCCGATTAGATTGTATTTTTAATTTTTTACGCACTATAGGTCTTTTTAATTGTATATAAATCTTTTATCGACATATATTGGTTTTAACTCACTGTATTTTTACATATTACTTTAATTTATTTTATAATGGTTGGAGACAGCTTGGGTTCCTCGTCATCGAATTTTAATTTACTTTCACTGTTTTTACTGGTTGTTTGGCGCAGATAGCCTCCTTCCTTTGCGCCATAAAACACCAAACAACATCAAGATATTCCTGTAGTGAAAGTATGCTTGCTCTCTTTCATGGTTACATATTTCACTAAATTATCTTATAAAGCTTCTTTTATCAGTCTTTTTATAATTTTTTCCAACTACAGAAGAAATACTAACTGGTCTTCAATTTCCAGAACAACTCTTATAATCCCATTTAGAAATAGAAGTAACATTAACAATTTTCAAATCCTTGGACATCTGCCCACTGTCTACTGACCTACCAAAAATAAAAGAGGAGAGAGGCTTACATATCTGATATTTGACTTTCTTTAAAATCATGTGGAAAACATTGTTCGTAGTGCATTATCTGTTCTTAGTCTGTCTTTTTTTTTTTCACCACTTACAATCAAGGAATAAACACCTACGTGATTCAGGTGAATTCCAGTATTTACCATAGAATGCTGAAGATCATGAATATTGCTAACATCCTCCCATGTAAAAACAGAAGAGAAAAAATATATATTTAAAATCTCAGTCATGCTCTTGTCTTTAATAAAAACCTGGCTATCATCATTCTTTCAGGTCCCAGTCCCATTTTATTGTTTTATCTACTTTAAAAAATTCTTTGCTGTTAGTTTTAACATTACCAACCAGCTGTTTCTCATAAACCCTTTTTGATTTCCTAGTTTCTCTTTTAACAAATGCCCGAGTTTCTGATAGTTCTGTAAATCATGCATTTTATCTGTTGGATTTATCCCTGATTATCTAGTTTGAAATAATGTCTCAAACTCAGTTGGCTGTTTATAAGTTTCAGTTTTTCCAAACTCTTTCTTTTTCTAATGGAAATGTTTTAAAAAGATTTGTATTGTCTTTTTTTTCAAAATAAATATGACCATGTGTATTTGAAAGCTAATGGTCAATTATAAGAGTCCTTTTGTCAATATTTATATTTGTTTTTGATCTGTATCAAAAGTTGTGTTTAATGTAATATTATAACTTACCTGAAAGGCTGAAGAACAAATTACAGCTGTAAGTTTATGTATTGAGAGATGATGGTTTGGAAAATATTTGAACTTTTTATTGTTCTGTCTTAGGCCACAGACAAACATGGTATCAGTGCTTTGTTAGCAGCCATATGGGAAGGCCATACTTCTTGTGTGAAACTCATGTTAGAAAAGGTTTGTAATGGTTTCCTTTCTTTTCTTTTTCATCTTGCATATAAAAAAACATGAATAATTTAAGATATTCGATGTAATATATTATTTTTCATAATTAGAGATACTCGTCCTTTGTCTGTGTTATGAACTTAAAAATATGTGTGTAGATGCTATGATAAATAACACAAAAATCGTAACTTTCACACAATTTATTTATAACATAACATATTATTAGAGTATTCAT